AGTGTAAACACTTAATTTCCGCCTTAAATAACTTTCAGTCAATTTAGGCCAAGCAACTGGAATTGGTTTGTGTCCTAAAGAGTACCAAAGTGAATATGTCACATGCACAATGCCGCATGTAAAAGGCATTAGCATGAAAACTAGTGCATGAACCAACACAGGCATACTCTTTCATTTGCTTTACACTTCCTGTTTCAAAATGGCGTCACACTGTGGTACCAATACTATGCCAATTGTGTGCACATGTACACATACCATTGTCTAATGTGATCAGCACCCATCATTTCTGGGTACTGTACAATGGTTTTAGGCCTGTAAATGTATGCATAAATTTTTGAAACATTTTCAGAACTCCTTCATCTATTCCAGTGACTTTCAAAACACTGGAGAGTTTTACACAACAGACAAATGCTTTACAAATAGTTAACATGGCGGGGGGGGTTTCAAACTTGGGGGGTTTCAAACTTGGAACTTATTCCCTTCCCCATCTTACATTTGGGAACATGTAACTTAATCCCACACACATTAACTTGTTTGCAGAAACAGCATTGTCAGTCTTCAAAATAGCCTGAAAGAGATCATGTATACAAGCATACAACAGTGTCCTTGGGGAGTGTTCCGTTAATTATCATTGGCACTGCCATCCAGTTTATATTTTGTGAAAAAAAGCCCACCGATCACCAGTCCAGCTGGAAACCAGTTTTACAAGACCAGCATTGTGAAATTCTGACTATCAACGAGTTATTCTGTCATCTAGTATGCCCACCTGTTGAATGACATGAATCATGATGAACTCTGAAGATTCTGTCTTTACTACAATATACACTGTATTCATGACAGTGTAAACATACAGTTGAAAAATGTTCTGCCCAGTATGCTAGTCTTTGTACATGTACATGTAAATGAGAGAAGCAGAAATACATCAATAACTGAAAATCAGAATTTCATTAATTGTCGTAACACATGAAATTACACATTAAACTTCCGGTCACAGTATACTGTTACTCCCAGTACAAGCAGGAAACTCTAGTTAGTGCCATTGTTTCTGTCCAGGATAAAAGCTCCGATTAGCATTGATGAACAATTTAAATCTGAAAAACATCTCCAAATTCTCGCTATGATACCTTTTGAAATACAGGTATGACCAAATGTTTTGTCCCCCCCCAAAAAAGTGCATGTGGCCCATTATGCTAAATGAACGAATATGGCAAATGTACTGCTATGATAAATGGATGCCAATTTTCACAAGTCACGGCAGAAGCAAAAGGTCAGATGACTTTACCCCCATAGAAAATATATAATCCTTCTCAAAATCTGTCAGATCCAAAAATATGAGCACTATACAGATGACAAATGGTGGTGGTTATTGGAACTAAATGCTTGTCTTTTGCTACAAAATGAAGTCATCGGGATGCCATCCTTGTATGCACATCTAGGACAGGAGATCATTCGACATATTTATACAAGTACACATGTAAGTTCTACCCTCTTGGTGAAAGTCACAGAGAACTGTCCAGGAAAAAAAAAGGAAGAGGAAAACACGAAAGAAATAGAAGTAAAAGGGGATTGAGGTTTCATCCAACAAAAAAATAGTAAATCCATGAACTGATAAAGAACTACCATAATTAATGTACACCAATTCTCAAAATACATGTACACAAATGGGAGGAACAAATGTATGAATTACTTAATTTCAAACAAAAGGCAATTGGTTTAATGCCCAACACTAGCAAGGCATACATGTACATGTATATCTTTTACAAGAGGCTGTGTTATTTGGTCATCACTTTTCAGCACAGGTTTCGATACATGTTCCCCGGTATGTTCTCTCAACTTTACAGTTCTGACTAATATAGCTATTGCCAGTATCACGTTCATGAGCAGGTCTGGATATTTACATTATGTATAATTTACACGTACAGGAAGCTGGCATCCATTAATTCCTGATGAATATTTACAGTACACCTATCTGAAATTTCTGTCACGAATAGCTAAAGAGAAATCAATCTAGTCCCACCGTCTTTCCTTTGGAAGGTGCTGAATAATGTACATGTAAATGTATCCTGATGAGGAACAATGCATTTTTCATCATTTTCACGAATGTAGAATCTTTACACTGGGGAGGATGGAGCTTTGTATTCTTTTCAAAAACATTCCAATTGTATGAGTAAGAAACGATTGCAGTTACACCATGGATCAATCTCTTTCTTGAGTATGTGCGGTTCTTCTCAGAACCTCACAGTTCTTTCACTATGAAAACCTGCAAGTCTTATTCCAATTGTACATGTAGTGGACACAGCACAGAAATATTCTCTTCCTTTTCAGTCTGAACCCTCTCTGATGGAAAACTTTCTCCAGGGGACATGTTAATTTTTTTTTTTTTTAGGAATTGAAAGTGCCAACTACATGTGCATTTACATGTAGATTGAAAAAGATGCCAGGCAAATTTACCAAGAACAACTCGGGAGTCAATTAAGCTGCATAAAACAAACCCATGTGCTTTCACCATGATCCATAATGCACAAAAAGGCTGCAACTGTAGGTTCATGCATACATGTATGTTCTAAAAATGTCACCGTTGTCATAACAATGGACATCACGACTTTAACTAATTAGCACGTATGTGCACAAGAGCAGTATTGACAAAGCCACTAAGATATGCCTCTCCCATTTATCTTTACATTGCACATGTATTCAGCTCTGCCTTGTCACATTTGGTATCTTCATTAAATTGTAACATACAGAACAACAATTTTTCCGTCCTGGTCTCAGTCTCTTGACAATGGTGATTATCTGTACGTATGTGCCACTTGTGTCTTGCTCGCCTTCCTTGACGACCTGAATTACTGTAGAGGCCATTACTGCAAACCCACAATGCTCGTGGACAGGTGGAATGTGCACATTGCATGCCTCTTTGACCAATTGGGTGTCATGATTTGCCAAATGAACCAGCACGTCAAACTGAAGAATAAGCATGTGAGTGTAGTGTCACTGCAGTTATAGTGTCTAATCGGATTGGTCTACGTCTGAGCCTACGGGGCAAACAATACTAAATACTGCATTCAATTACTTCCCTCTTGCTCAATACATGTACATGTACCTGTGGTGTTGTCATAGAATTAGATAGGCATGCCCAATATGTGATTATAAGCAAATATTTGGGGTTATTCTACATGTACGTGCCCCAACAAGATCAAGAAGTCATACAGTGATTTAATATGTAAAGTGAATCTGAATGGTGGAAAGTAACAGACATCCAAACGTGTGTCTGGCCTTACTTTCACAGAACTTAGTTGACTCCAGCCAATCTGCCACTACATTTGACCATTTCGCTGCTTTGTTTACAACAGTATCAAATTTCCTTTGCAAAGTTTGACTGAGCCACCATGTGCTTGTACATGTATTTGTATTGTGGGATACTTTTCCAAGTGATTGGCTCGGCGAGTACATGTAGGTTACTTAGGCTAGACCCGAGTAAGCTCAAGGAGTCATGAGATTGTCAAATGGAACACAGTTGTGCACAGGGAAAGTAATGGAGCATGTAAGAATTAACTGTGTATGAATTTTAGGTGACAATTTCAACAAATTACGGACCACGCTATACAAGTACATGCACACATATCTTTGAAATAATATTTACCATCCAAAGGTACAATTTCGGAGGGAGAAGGCCATTAGAATATTTTCATATCTTTTCCTCTGGCCCAACATTAGATAGTTTTACTAAAACCTTTCACAAAAGTTACAGCATAATTACAATCTATAAGTAGAATGTCAGTGCCTAGGTAATATCCACCTAAATATAATTTTTACGAACATTCCATGAAAACATTTAAATTAATACAATATGTAATTTCATTTATTGTTGAGTGAATTTGCATACGGATTGGACTTCACTGTTTGGTCCGAGTCAATCTTTTTCAAAAAGGCAACAATCAAGACAAACCAGTGTCTTATTTTTTCTCTTAACTGCAAAGAGCAACACACAAACAAATTTACACACGCTCACAAAGGTTACAGGTACTAAGTTAATAACTTTGCTAAACTCCACAGACATGTACAGCACTGGTGCCGATGCTCACTAGGGTGCATGGGTGCCTGGGTGCCATCCAATCCAAAAGGCATAGCAGGAGGGCAGGCTTCAGACACTAATTTGCAGGTGGAAACTCAAGGAAAACCGAGATGTAGAATCCAGAGACAATGTGTGGATTTCTTTGGAACAAGCACACACCATCAAGTCAAAGACTTCCGAGCTGCTATCATGCACATGGTAAAACCAAATCAAATTGCGCTTTGTACACCAACTATTAAGAACCCCAGGATCACCACAATTATTGCACAGAATTTGGGGAACAAACCTTTGATTCAGCATAATGTATGCAGTTATGACCCTAGGCAAATGTGCACATATATATATATACAAAATATTCGCGATGCCAAAACTATTGTGTCTTCACAATTGTACGCTGTATATGTATTTGCATGCACCGTACATAACTCAAGTGTCAGTTTTGTGAGTATAAAATTAAATGAATGTACACAGGCTGATTGGCACTTAATGCGATATCACGGAATTCTGGTGCCGAATGCTGTGGTCTCAGAAAAATGAGTAACCCGCACTGCTTGAGTTTAAAAAAAAAGCCAGCAGACAACAACTGTTCCACTGTATGTACGTCACAAGTGGACACCACCAAAAGTGGTCTAAATTGTGGCAGAAAAATTTAAATCAAAAATCTCTGAGCTTGCAAATGAAAATCTGGTCAGATCAACTGCTCATGGGAACATTCACTCGTCCCCACCTGCCTATTTAGGGCACTGGGAAGGGCAAATACACGGCACATTTTTTGCTTAGCACTCATTGGACAGAGTTCATTTAAACAATAACAAAGTTCAACGCTTCCACGTGCGCACCAAATGTGCAGGTGGATTAGGGGAGCAAGTAACCAACAATGAACGTTGATAGTTTGACACATGTCCTCCACAAAAGTTTGTGAAATGCATCTGCCCTTTCCAGGTGGGGAATGAGCGAAGTGAGAACACTGCATCTGATCTCCAGGACCAACAGTTCACCACAGCCCTTCTCTTTCAGTTCACAAGTGACCTCTCTCTGGTTGCATGCAGTATTATTTTGTTGGCAACAGAAAACATCCCCAAAGCTCATCACCTCACGCTATAGCTTTGTGTCAATGTCTGACAAGAGGACCAACAGTTCACCACAGCCCTTCTCTTCAGTTCACAAGTGGCCTCTTCTCTGGTTGCATGCAGTATTATTTTGTTGGCAACAGAAAACATCCCCAAAGCTCATCACCTCACGCTATAGCTTTGTGTCAATGTCTGACAAGAGGACCAACAGTGCACACAGTGGACACAGCTCAACTCCAGCATGAGCACAGTTCGGGTCAAGTACAAGGTCAGCAGAAAAAAAATCACAAAATCAGATTAACATTGAATACATGTACCTGTATGCACACGCATGTACATGTATGTGGTATTCTGGCACTACACTGTAAAAGTAAACACGTTTTTAACGTACATTTCTACATCTAAGAACGATGACTCATCTAAGTACAAAGCAGCATAATTTACATGTACATCATGAAGCTTCACCTTGATGCCATCCCAATGTTGTCTACCTACATGTACCACGATACTGTAAGCCTATAACCTGTCTTGTGCTGTCGTATGTGCTAGGGGATCCCAGTACCGGATGAGAACATGAAAGGTCATTTCTTTGTGCCTGTACACATCAGTCACTTGAATCTGAAAAGTAAAGTTATCAGAAAATAATAAGACAATCGGATATTTAACCTTGTACATTTAATTGCATGTACATGTATGGAAGGACCCCCGGGGTTGGGGGAACGTGCCCCACCTTTCTAACAAAATGAATTTACCCCCTTCAAACTTTTGGACTCTTACCCTATACTCACATGCGCTGTTCTGCCTTCATAGCCACCCATTTATCCATACAACGTACAGTACATGTATACAGTACACTGCCACCACTGTTTGAATTTATGAATTGTACTTCATAATTTCCATGCACTTGAAAATAAACATTATTTTGAGTTTTTTTTAGCTTGACACGCTTCACAAAGAAATGTTTGTCTACTGTTGTATCGCTGAGAAAGCAAGAGTCAACGAAAGCCTCACTGCTTGCAGTTTCTGACTTGTCATTTCTTAGTTACAACATGCATTGCAAAAGGTATATTTAATTCCTGAACTGTAACTGAGCTTGTGAAAACCCACAATATCAAAGAAACAAGTCATTGAATTTTCCAAAGTTTTTAAACCTTTAGTGTAAGATGTCCTCCTGCGTGTAGTATTGCGCCTCCTTCAGGTAATCCTTCAATCGCCGTGGCAACGGAAGGCTGTCGATGTGATCCAGCCGGACGTGCTTGCGGATGACGAAGCGGCACATGTGCTGCAAGGAGCGAGCCTTCTGGAATCGGGAGATTGGGTAGAGGAGCTGGACGGCAGCCGGGGGGTAGCCGGGCATCCGGGGTCTCAGGAAGTACAGCACACGGCCACTGTGGGAATGCCGCATGGCCTCCTCAACAAACTCCACGATGGAGGCACTGCCATGGCTACAAGGCTGAGACCAGAAACTGAATTTGCCTGCACAAAAACCAAGGAGGCATCCAAAGCATGGGTTACACAAATGCTTCTTGGGATCTGCCCATAGTGTCCCCTCCTCCCTTCCCCAAAACAGCAGGTACAATACTTGGTTAGGTAGTTTTTAATTAACACATGGAATATCACCCTCCTTGTACATTTCAAAGCAGAAGTGTACTTGTACATATAGGGACATGCACATTTTCAAGCGATGTACTGCAATGTAAGACAGAATTTTTCATCCAATGTGTACAGCTTGCACAGTACTTCACACTATGGCAATTCTGTTTGGTGAAACTTGTCCAGAATTGAAAGTTGTTTAGCCCTAGCCCCCAGGATGTGTCACCTTTGTAAAATCATACTGAAGTTGGAGGAGGCAAAACTGTTGGAATTTAAAAATCTTCGCTGAACATTCACCACGTAACAAATTCGCTGGAATGGACTCAGTTACAGTCCCATTTTGGGGTAAATCAAAGCACTACCTATGCTAGACTCTAGTCAAGGCGCTCATGGCACCCTGGATGCTCAGCTGGTAACTCAAATAAAGACCAGTGTGATGAGTTGCAAATTCACGAGTGCCTTTACTATCTCAAGGAGGTAATCACCGTTTATTTCAGTTAGAACAACTGTACAGTTGCTAATTCAGTACTCATGCATGCACAACTGCCCACAATAATTCATTATTCGGTTTGATTCGCTGTGATGATCCAATCATTTTGTTGGCCTTAGCTACAGGTAGTTGTACATGCACCTTCTCTAGGGAACTGCAAAAGGGTTCTTGAATTTGTAGAATGAATAAGGGAAACGGGCATATGTATACCTGTACGTATACCGTTGTAGTTGAAATTTTTAACCTGTGGCCATATGAACAAAGTAACATACATGTAACACATCCTGGCCGTTAATTAACATACAGAAAATGCTATAGACACTCCTGTACACGAACATACATGTGTTCAAGAAAGAATATGCTTTCATGGTACAAGAAATGTGTGTAGTACAAATTACATTGTTTACATTACTACTCATACATGTACGTGAAATACATGTACAGATAAATGCATAATGTACATGTACCGGTACGTCCACGGACATACACTACTGTGTATGTCACTCAACTGTAAGGCTGCTCAATAGCTACTGCATTTGTACTTTCCGGTGCATGTCAAATTACAAATATTTCAAATATAAATGCGGATAGTTTATCCAGGTTGCATGTACCTGTACATGGTAGATGTGTGTGAACCTGTACAAGAGCGTACCTGTTAAGTTGGAGTTCTTTATTGTGCAGACATGTACATGAACATGGGTATACCGGTACATGAAGACATGTACATGTATAACATGTACAGTACATGTACATGAACCAAGTTTCAGTTGAGCACCCTGAAACTTGGTTCATTCACAGGAAGGAAAAGTCAATATAAAGTCTTTCAACTTAATTCCCCCATTCCAACTGTCACTTCCTGATGCCCTACTGAACTTTTCACTTCCATGTTCCATGATAAGACTACATGTACCATACATACATGCACATGTACATGTACATGTAGGCATAGCCTGTGCACAAGAATGCACACACATACATGTACATACACCATGTATGATGTACACGTGTACTGTAATGCAGATTCAACATACACAGGTTGTGTACACAATGTACATGTACATGTATGTGCCTAGCTACATGTATCACTGCCTTTGTTTCACTACAGAAAATACAGTAACAAAAAATGTGAACAAGCAGTGTCAGCTGTGTTCACTGAAGACGGGGGTCAAACAAACCAACCAACCAACCAACCAACCAATGTACATGTACAGGTACATTAACATAAGGGATTACCCATCCAACAAAATGTTCAAGAGCAGATTGCAATAACATCATCCCATCTGACATGCCAATCAACTGCCACACAGTGTACATGTACATACATGTACTCATGTAGAAAATGTGACAGGTTGTAAAGAACTTTAACACAAATGCAGAAAATTCAATGCCTACAGCAACAACCATGTGTTAATAACTTGCCCTTTCTCTTTCAAACTTTTCAAATGTTTGACAAGTTCATATACATGTACACGCGTACAGGTACATGTACAGGTGAACAAAATTAAGACGAAATGTCCATTGTACACATTCTACCAGCATGGTTCATTTGATACTGTACACGTACACATTGTTTTTTGACCAGCAACTACTCTTGGCCCCGAGCGGGCACAAGAGGGAGCAACTTTCAAAGCAACGGAGGCTCCATTGGTGGAACTGCTCTTTGTTGGTTTCACAAACAACTATGAAATGCATGCGTTGCATGGGCATGGCTACCAACAAAATGAACACTCCCCACCAGCATTAATAACCGATGAGGAGGAGCTTCTGCTCAAGGCAGACAGAGATGGTAAAGATGTGCATAACACCAGTACCTGTGCACGTTCATAGTATGACCAACACATACTAGCACAAGTCTATGTGCACACAGTGCTACTTGTGCCCTTCATCATGTCCGGGTACAGAATCGATATGACAGGCATTGCACATTCCATTCATCCTGACTCGTTAAGGAACTGTAATGAGGAAGTTTTCACACAGTTGACAGAATGATAATCATCAATAGGATCTATATATACACTACATACACCGTT